CCAATCGATAAAGAAGATTTCTTCTGCCAGTAGTGGAAATTAGAGTTTAGTTTTCATTGCAGCCGCTGAGATAAGCGACAAATAGCATTCTGCAAACGTATATTGCAGTTTCCAATCTATAACCTCTGTGATCTGTGGAGTAACACTTCTATGGTAACACTGCTAGACATTGACAACAAATAGTGTTTTTCTCTCGAAGTGGCAAAAAACTATCACCAATGCTTAAGCTAGAATGAAAAACCGCATTTGCCCTTCATCGAGCTCATGTACATATGCGTCGCCACACTTTTCTTGATTAAACCGAACGTTAAGGGCGTTATTCGTTATAGACTTTGCAACCCGACAAGGTATACAATATGTGGACTAAATCGAGCTTCAGAATCAAGGATTGTCGTTAATTTACAGTTCAGAAACCGTACAATGTCGCTGACAATACAGCACATCATAACTGATGCGAAACAATTGGCTAAAAGGCTAAAGGAAAGGGAGTCGATTGCGGACACCTTGCTAACTGAAACTCTGGCTCTGAACAAGAAAATCGATGCCATGAAACAGGTAGGAACAAACAGAACACATGTATTCAGCAAATACCTTGCTTTAGTTTCAAGAGGAGGTTGAGCAGCTGAATGAGGTAGCCAACCAGAAGCCGCACTCGCAACTGATCGAAAACATTCAAAAAGAAAACCGCCATTTGCGGGAGATTCAGCAGGAAAACAGGGAATTGAAATCTGCATTGGAGGACTACCACTGCACTCTTGAACATATAATGAGCAAATACAGGGAGCATACCAATGAGCGAATCTACCGCTCGAAAATTGACCTAAAGGTGCCAACCCACTATTTCTAGCTTTTAGGGGTTTTAGACGTCAGTAACGGTTTACAGGCTGTTCAGAACCAGAGATATCAATCCATAATCCAGCAGCAAGCTGACAAAATCAAAGAAATGGCCGCAGTAATGCAACGAGCGGCTGCATTAGACGACGACAGCATGCTGGGCTATCAGGAGATGGTCTCTAAGCTTTCAGCCGAAAATAAGGTACTGAACCAGCGAATTTCAACAGTTAATTAAATGTTTTACTTTTGGAAATTAGGGCCTCAGGGAGCTGTTGCACTTGTCAAAAAACTCCGCCACTGAGGATAAGAACATGCAAACTGAGACGTCCTGAACCACGTTCAAACTGTGTATATTAACTCAAAACTCTTAGGTATATTTATTTATTTCTTCACAGGTAACAGAGGGATCGGGAAGTTTGGTTGGCATAATTTTTGAAAAAGCAAATAAATATACTGTCTTCACTACTCACTGTATGTTATGTATGTAGGAAAACCCTTGTGCACTTGATGAATAAAAGACTAACTTTATAAAAAAACGTATTTTTCAAGCACAACACACAAAATGCTTTGCAATTTAAATAAGTAAATATACACAAAATAGTTTTTGTTTGAGTGGCGGCCAGAACAAGTTGGAAATTAAAAAAATAACCTTGATAATGGATTACATTTTGGACGACGTGTACTCTACAGGGAACTTGAACGAATGCATGCCGCTGGCGTAAATGTTCGGCAATAGACCGGCATTCGGGATGATGTTCCAGGACAGTGTCAGTGTGATGTTCTTATTTCCCCTGTCATAAGCAGCAAAATAAATACTCAGTTCAAAGCTAGTTTATACAATCACGTACCTTAGCCCATCTCCATCGTCCCAGAAATAGTATTTGGTATTCATATTCTTGAAGTCTAACACTGCATTTTCTCCTCGTAGGATGATCTTGTCCCATAAAACTACCTAAAAATCACTTATTTTACTGCGTTCTTTCACTACTGATCTGCATAGGTGAATTAATCAGCGGTTTTAGTTATAGCCGTTAGATTAAATTGGCTTAACGATGGTAACCAAATCGACTTTTAATTTTCCCAAATTTTCTTGTTTATCAGGTCGGGGCGTTCGAAGTTACATGTTCAGACAGGGCCTCAGATTGCATACGTCAAGTAGTTGTTTTGAACGAAGTAGCTACTGTACCTGATTAAGCTGATTGTTTTTCGTCACATACTCAGCGGTAAGATACATAAAGAGCTGCTTAACATTCCAGTTGAATATATCAGTAAGGTCAGTTTTGAGGTTGAAAGTCAGGAACCCCAAGTCGTTTACATCCCGCGAGGCACTGAAATCAGGCACGTTCTTACTAAAACAAACTCATTAGCAAACCAAACCAAATTACTATTTGGGGCAAACTTACACCAAAACTTTCACAGTTTTGATATCTGCATTTGTGGAATAGTTCAGAAAGACTGTGGAGGCAAAACAGCAAAATGTCAGGAAGGCCAGCGCGCTAAGCGCATAGGCTAGAATGGAGTTGCCCCTTTGGAGCACCGAATTCATTTTAGTTTCAAACTTATGGCAAATTAGCTTGCAGACACGTCAGTCAACTCGGATTTATTATAGGTTAAGGCCATAGAGAAAGTAAAATATTATTTTACTTACTCTATGGTTAAGGCCACAGAATATCCCCCGGGGGGATGATCTGTGGTTAGGGCCACATAACGTACTAATCAGCCGTGAATATTTTTGTGTAGTCGGGCGGCGCCATCTACGAGGACCAAGTTGGACGGTTTCAGAAGGGTATTTTCAAACTCATGGGGCCAATAAATTGGCCACCCAACATAAAATGTATTGCTATTTAATATAAGGCCTCAGCCCAAAAGAACTTTTTTCATCAAATAAGTCCTATGAGGCTTTATGACCTCTTCGTTTGGCGAACTAGCGCACTTCGAGGAGCACAAATACTGCAGCAGTGGAATGCGGTACTTTCCGCAAAAGTCCACAAACTTGATGTGTTCCACCCTGTTGTCGAAATACACACCTAAAACAGCAAATAATTACTTTAAGCGACGATTAACTGAGCAACAGTACCTTTGCAGTGCGGGTTTACGCATCGATGCGCGGACTCCAGGTACTGAGCAAGGGAATGGGGGAGATCTCCAACAGGCGCGCTAATATTATGGAGCTTAATGGCTCTGGCTGATAATTCCAATAAGCTGGCCGGTTGATGTTGGATGTCGCTTACAAACCGTACAACCAGCGGATTGTCTCTTAAGCTCAACTGGAAATTTGGCAATTTAATATTGCAGGGACTTAGAACAAACAACGTACCTCTGAAAGGTTCCGTAGCGCTATAATTTCAGGAGGCAAGGTTTTAAGCCGATTTTTATGGATCAACAAAGAGCGCAGATTGTGTAAATTGGCTACACTAGCGGGCAGGCTCTCAAGCTGATTATCGCATAAAACTAAAGCCTGCAGGCTCTTGAGCAACCCCACTGAAACTGGCACGTCTGAGATGTTGTTTCCACCCAAAGAAAGCACTTGCAACCTAAAAATTCACTGTTCTTCTCAGTACTTAAAGCACGCGGCAATTACTCACTGTTTGAACCTCCATATTTCCTTGGAGATATTCTTCATCCCATTGCCGCCCAAATACAGATATCTCAAGCTGGTGAACGTGAGTATTTGGTCTGGAAACTCCGATAAATTATTGCCGGCCAGGTTGAGCTCTTTCAGCGTCGGGCAGTAGCTGAAGTCCTTCGGCAGAGCCTCATTATCCAGACGGTTGTTCTTCGCGACGAGCTTGCTCAGCTGGCAGTACTGGAAGATATTCGGCAGGACTGTGAGGCCGTTGTTGCTCAAATCCAGCACTCGCATGTTGATGAATCTGGACAAACACACACACAAAATGGCATCCGCCATCCGCAAAGCAAATGCGCCTACCTTGTTAGGTTGCTGGGTAATGCAGTTAGCTCGTTATGGTGTAAAATCATATTTTCTACGTCTAAAAACTTCTTTGAACCATTCTCGAAGTACTGGGCTAGCAACTTATCCACTGACTCGGGGTTCTTGAGCAGGTAGGCCAGATCTATCGCCTTATTACCGGTCTCTCCATCGCTGCTATCCGAAGTGTAATTGTTCATCTGTAAAACCACAACCAACCATTTCAAGACACGGTAGAAAGTGATAAAGGAAGAAAACATACCTTTAGATAGCGTGCTGGTTTATACAGTTTATTGCCTCTAGTCAGGTCTAATCAGCAATTTGATGCTGATTCAATAGTTGCGAGAAGGAGCTCTCCTGCAAACAGACAAAATTGCGAATAAAATAAGTTGATAACACAGTTGACCTGGCGATTAAAGGGGCATCCTTGCAGTCCCATTTATTGGTTAATTACATAGTGCGTGCGCTTTTCACCAAATTAAACCAACTTAATTGGCCTCGGCGAATGGATCGCGAATGTGCGTGGAATGTACGAAGCACCACAAGCATAGACACATTGATTTATTTTTCTGGAAAAATATTCTAAATTTAGTCTAAAACTCTATTTTTGCAAATCAGTTGGCCTCGGTAATGAAAAAACGTTGGGATGTCACTCCCTCCAAGGCTCCGTTCATTAATTATTTACGGGATTTAGAAGTATTTGAAATAAACAATATAATTAGAGAAACAAACAAATTCCAGAACATTGCAACTTTTCACTCTTGTTTCCCTTAACGTTTGGAAACGAAAGATACTTCCAGATTCAATCGAATCAAAACACTGCAAAAATAATAAAAATGTTTTTTCGTGTTTTAATCGTCCGGTAGAAAGGTTGAGGAATACACCCAGCGTTCTTTTGCATTAATCAAAAAGTAAGCAAGTCTGCATAAACATTAAATTGTGCCTCCCATGCGGGCGCAAACTAAGGTTGCCAAATTTGGCTGGACCCTAACCCAACTTAACAATATCATGTAACAAACCCACCTAACCATACTTCAATCACACCTTGTTTATCAAAAGAATCATGGTAAGTCTGCAAATAGCCCCAAAATGTGGTGCAATAGGGCCTTAACGCCAAAACCTGGTCACTCGAATGAGTTAATTATCAAAATCGTTGTTGTTTGCAGGGCAAATCAAAGAAAACTCGCAAAATAGCAGTGAAACGGTTCGCCAAAATGAAAACTATGATCAGCCCTAGTGATCCCCGGATTAAGGAGTCGTTGAGAGCACCGCCGCGCAAGAAGAAGCCCGAAGATCCCCAGAAGCTCAAAGTGCGCGAGGTACCCCAAGCCAGCTCGGCGCTGTTCTTTCAATACAACACTCAGCTGGGGCCCCCTTACCACATACTGGTGGACACGAATTTCATCAACTTTTCCATCAAGAACAAGCTGGACATCATGCAAAACATGATGGACTGTTTGTACGCGAAATGTATCCCTTATATTACCGATTGCGTGTTGGGGGAACTGGAGAAACTGGGGCAGAAGTACAAAGTGGCGCTGCGTATTATTAAGGACCCCCGATTTGAGCGCATTCACTGCATGCACAAGGGAACTTACGCGGATGACTGTCTAGTGCAAAGGGTGACGCAACATAAATGCTACATTGTGGCTACAAATGATCGGGACTTGAAGAGGAGGATTAGGAAAATACCGGGGGTGCCGATAATGTACGTGTCGCAACACAGGTACACTATTGAAAGGATGCCCGATGCTTATGGGGCGCCCAAAACGTAGGATTGATTGAAGATTTAATATTAACATTAATAAGAAATGCAATTACAAAAATCCACGTGTTTGAATGTGAATAATCAGTCACCTTTACTTCGAATTTTCCAAGCGCCAATTGTGTACCTCAGCCAGATAAGGCCCAAATCCAGGCCCATCTGCAGCCAGCTCCACACTGGCGTCACTTTGGAGCCCTCGATTTCCGTCCAGTTAACAGCAACCTCTGAAATGGGAATGTTCAGCTTCTGGGCGATGTACAACAATTCCACGTCAAACGCCCTAAAACAACCCCTCAGTGGCCAAGTTTGCTAAAACTAGAATTTTAGAACGTTTACCATCTTTCTACATGCATGCTCTCAAAGCAAATTGCTGCTGCTTTCCTGGTTAGCAGCTTGAAGCCGCATTGCGTGTCCCTGATTCCTTTCACTGCAAATAGCCATACTAAGAAGTGGAAACCGTACATTAAGATGGTTCTGAACACAGTCCTACTGGCTACTGCCTCGTCTTCTAGATGAGCTCTAGAGCCCACTGTAATCGCCAACGTATCTGCAGTGATTTCAGGTTTGGAAAGGTAGTCAGCTGCAAATTTGCCACGTTTTAGTCGCTCGTTGTAACAATTGGAGAGTAATAACTTACAAACTACCAACTCTTTTAGACTGTCTTCCAGTTTTCGCAGGTCTGCAAACTTGGTGGCTCCATCGGCGTCTGCGAAGAGCAGCAGCGACCCACGAGCACTTAGCATCCCCTAAAACATGTTGTTATTTTCCGCACGCCTACTCCATATCGGTGACTTTACCAGCCTGACTGCTCCGCCTTTGCCCCTGTTCTTTTCCAGGGCCAGCACCCTCACTCGCTCACAGCTGTGTTTTTTTGTATAACTCAGTGCTTTGCTGACTGTTTGATCAGTACTGCCATCACTCACTACAATCACTTCATAAGAGAAAGCGCCGCTCTTCCTTCTGCTCTCCAGGTAGTCCAGGCACTCATCCAGCATGGGGCCCACTAAAATACCATTAACATCAGTCAAAGCAACTGGCGAGGGGCTTGCAATCACATACAGCGCTCCTCTTCATTGTAAGCCGGCACAATCACACTAAGGTTCAAAGAACACTTGTCGCTGATGGCCGGAAAATTGATATATACTCCTGTAGCTGGGTCGAAAAACTGCCTTTCCTTCTTGGACCGGAAAATCACCGGGTACGTTTTGGAATATGCCAGGATTATAATGCAAACCTGTAAACAAAGCAGAATCATGTTTTGCACGTTAAATTTCGAGCCGCAACTCACCCCAAGTGCCAACGAGAATCCCAAAGCAGATCCGATGAACAGCAGATATTTCAAGTCCATTTTCCCTTGAAAAATCTGCTTATGTTGGCATAGTTTTCATTTTCTTTCAATAATCTGATAAACAATGTCAGGTTATGTTCATTTTGGTTGTCAAGACCATAGAGAAAGTAAAATACGTAAGCATTTTACTGTATACAAGTACTTTAGTATACAGTTCATTGTACGGAAGTAAAAAAGTAAAAAGACACCCACATAGATGAAGACAACTGGACACCCACAGCATTGCCACCTCTTATTTTACTTACTCTATGGTCAAGACTTCCAAGACATTTGGGTAATATTGAAGAATTCTACTATTAATGACGCAACTGAAGTGCCTTGGAAAAACCGTGATCGTATTTTTCAGTTGTAAATACATGGATTTTAATGGTAATTCCGGCACAAAAAGGCTTGAATGGGGGATATTTTAGATGCTTTCACTTGGAAAAGCTACATTTCATGTCGTCTTAAAAATAGAACACTCAATATTTAAAAGACGAAATTAAGGAAGTAGGGAAATAGAAATTGGGAAATTTTTCAGTAAGCAATCGAGTCGTAACAAATATATTTGATAATTTGCATTGAAGGCACAAATCCCGTTCTAAAACTTGATCGGAAAATGGATGAAATACGAGTTTTGACGAAACAAAGCGTGACAATCATAATGGCGTGTAAAACGCTCAGAAACCACAAGCATTGCAAATGCGAAAAATGCCTTTACAGCCTACGTTCTTTATCACAGTTGATGAACATTTCGAATGAACCTAGTGAGCAATAAAGGAGAACCATGAAATACTTTCAAAACGTATGAACTAAAATTGTAAAAACGCTTAAACTTATCTGGGTAAAATATCAGGAAAATAAAGCAGTTGGCACGTTTCATTGCACGATTTTAAGCTTGTCGTCGTCTTGTTTCTGCGCGTCGCGATTCATTTTAACGGCATCCAAAAATCCGTAAATCTGCGCCACGTATTCCTTCGGGTATTTCCGGAAATGGCCCACATGGGGCGACTTTTCGAACACTTTCCAGTCGACCTTCATGCCCATACTCTCCCAGTTCTCGCGCACTCGCTGATTGGAGCGCTCAGCCCCAATCGGGTCAGTTTTGCTCAGCAGAAACAAAGCAGGAGCCCGCACCATATTCGTGTGAAACATCTGGCTGGAGCGCACGTAGTGTCGCGTTGCCACTTTGTCAAAGGTCTTCATGTGGTAGCTAAAAAGGATAAGCCCCACCACATGTCAGCAATATAGTCAAATACCTCATTGGACTAATACCTACATAATGTACTTCGAAAGGGCGTTAGCCATGACTTTATTGCGCGGAAACACAGCGGGGGGCACACCCTTGTGAATCTCAGTAACGTCAGCAGCGCTGTCCCATACTTGCCCAGCAAATCGGTCCAGAACCTGTTGGTAGCGCTCCTTTTCATGTGCCATCTGTACCATTACTTCTCCCCATAGATAGCCGCCAACTGAGAACCCATGAAGCATCATCTGGGAATAGGATTTGTTCTGTTCCAGAAACTTCAGAATATCCGCTGCGACAACCTAATAATTAAAAAAACAAGATGAAGCGGGGGCTATAGATGGGAATTAGGCAAAGATGGACCAAACGATTTTTATAATATTGCAAGTGTGTAAAGTCATTTTATTGCCAGCTTGTTCCAAATATTTGCGCAAACTCACATGTATAATCGGCGATTTAGCGCTTGTAGGCCTGCAAATTTGCCTACGATTACATTGCGCTGTCAAAAAAGGGCCTACTATACTAGCAATTACGGGTTAATCCGCAAACTTTCAACACCAGCATTCGAAATGCGAAGTGAGATTGATATTGCAATCTGCCCTAAATATGATGTGCAAGTAAAAGGGTCATTTTGAATATATGGAATGGAAGTCAAACTTTTATCTAAAAGCATTTTCAATTGTGCCTATTTGTTTTTAAAAATCCACAACTGAGAAACTCCGACAGGAGGAGGGCAGAAATTTGGTGTGTGTGTGTGTGTAAGCGAGTTGTTTTCGGTAAAGTTGGCAAGATCGCAATAACTTTCAATTTTTCGCAGATTGTTGAAACTCTTTCAAACTTCCAACGAAAAGTCGCGTTTCCAAGTGTGATATCAAGCGTATTTCAATACGTAGTACGGTTCTGAACTCGTTTACCCCAGCCAGCGGCAACTTACAATACACGGTGATGGCAAATAGTTAGATTAATAGTCAGGGAATAGAGACAGCACAGGTCAGATTCAGATAATCATAAAAAGGTAAGTTAGTGGCTGGAAGGAATTTTGTTCGATTATAAAGCGTGATCACAGTTAAACGAAAAATGTGTACTCTCGAATAATCCTTGAAACAAACAATGCCAATTCACTATATCGTATAGAAATCGTATATGAAACTAGCTGAAGACAACATGAAAGTCATCCATTATTCATACTTTACTCCGGCGTCAGAGCGCCTATTAAGCAATCAATCCACTAGTTAAACCCAATAAAATAGCCTTGGATTAACGACCTAATAATCCCCTACAGTCTATAGGATATACAGTGTCTGTCTGTGTGAAAAATTTTCACCTACTTGGGTGCCTGTGACGGGCCATAAAAACTGCCAGGGATTGACGGTGACGCACAACACATCGAACCCCTTTTGCAGCCAAATATCAGCGTATTTTTGCGTGTGCTTCTTCTTGGCCATCATCCAGGCAATCAGCACTACTAGCGGATTGTCTTGGGGCTCTTCCAACTTGAAGTCGTTGATCGCTGTATTTTTCTTTTCATTGGACAGCAGTGACATGTTCTTGGTCACTTCTAGGCAGGAGGCCTGCCGAACTGGCATTATCATGAAGCCCTGGAACAACACATCAAGCACTCCTCTAATCGGCCTTTATGAAAAAACAATCTACAAAAACCGGATTTGAATGGAATTGACTTTCTATTCAAATCACCTTACATGTTTCATGAATAATGAGACCAGACTTTGCCGCTAGACGATTGACAGTTTTTCTTATCAGATTGAACTTTAGACCTCAGCGACTGTGCAAGATAAGTGGTTAATTGTCTACCTATTTCCACATGACTTGTTATTTATTTACTGTCTTACAGTGGCTAAAGAGGGCTAATGGAAATCTTACCAGCAGTATTTTTGGGGGGCCCCTCATGTTCCCATTGCTCAGTTGCTGGAAGCCCTGCCGGAGACAGCGAGCCATGTGCGAAAAAGCCATCTGAACAAAGCATTAAACACAGGATTTATTTATAACTTCCAGGCAACTGGTTGAATGGCTGCTGCTTACCTTTGCAGGTTGTTGGCAAACGTTGCGACTTACTGAGGCCCACACTTTAGCTGTTGCAAGTTAATTACTGAGCAAAGGCCGCTTAATTGTTCTACGATCAATAAGAGATTTAATTATTATTTTTTGTTTAACAATAAAATGCATATGTCACCCGAGCGAAGCGGGCGATCACGACCTGTCCGCCTGATAGACGAGGACGCAATTATATCAGAAATGAGAAAGGAAAAGATGCCGACATGGAAAATGGTTGATCTCCAGTAGCGGCACCCGCGGGATTTTTTTTTGGTTTTTTTCTAGATTACAAACGCAAATTTGACAGAGTTTTCGCTTCGTGTTTGCGTCAGATTTGGAGCAATTTTCTAGTTCAGTTTGAAACCAAGTTGTTCACGTTGTAGATAAAACAGTCGGTACACAAATCATAAAATAAAAAGCCGCTATAACTTTCCAAAGTTAAAAAATCAATTATGAAGGAACGAGCTAATAGAATAAAACCAAATTTACACCTGCATTCAACAAAAGCATCCTTTATCGATTACTGAAGTCTACATTTCAGTGCCTCAACTGGTGGTTCCTGGCAAATGCGCTTCACAAGAGACTGGAGCAAAAATAATAAAACCGCGTTAAAACTTAAAAAATATATTATGAAAAATAAAACTGCGGGTATGAAACGAAATTTGCAACTCGAGTAAGCAAAAGCTTCCTTTCTCGATTGCTGAGGTCTGCGATTTAACGCCTCAACTAGTTCTTGAGAAATGAATGTTGCACAATAAAAAACAAAACTTTCCAAACTTCAAAAATGAATTCTGAAGAAACGAGGAAGTGGAATGAAACCAAATTTGAAACTCGAGCAAGCAACATTTTCACCAATTTAAATGACCCTATAAACCATTGTAAAACAATTAAATTAACTTTAATTCCAAATAAAGTTTAGCTTCTTTTTGTGTGTTATTTGACGCGAATTTATGAACCAGCTAACTAAACTACGCCCATGGTTAATCCAACTAGTTTTCGTGTATAATCGGTTGCATATGAGAGGCGATTTAAAATTAGCTGAAAATATCAGTGTTTCTTCGCTTAAAAGTCCACTATTTAGAACCGGAAATACGGACAATTATGTTCGATTAGTCGCGCTATTTATAGCATTTATGAAAACCGATAATGTTAATCGCCTGTGGAACTTGGCGGTGATAAAACCGAAGATAAAGACAAAAACAAAAGGGCCAAAGTCAAGCGGTCCAGACGCTTTGATAAAAACACATCAACCCGCTGTTGCCTTTTACTGAGCCCGCAAAATCTAGCTAAGAATTACTGTGGATTGTGCGTAAAAATACGCCATTGAATACATTTTTGGCAATCATTAGGAGCAGCCAGTTTGAAAAAAAAATCATATTCATGCAAACGGATTTAAACAGCTTAGGGAGCATTAATTGGAAGATTCTCCGCGACATTCCAGCGCAACTGGCAACTCGACAAATACTTAACCGCACAAAAATTGAAGTTGTCTGTGTGAGGTGCGAACTGTGAACATTTTCAAACAAAACACTTCGGCAATAAACCCCTAAGGGCTAAATCATCATATTGCCGGACCGTATGCGGGGGCGGCGGCACGTTTTCGAATCAATTATGTGAACGGCGAAAACAATGTCAATGATCGAGTCGCGGCTTATCATCAAACAAGGGTACATGGTCAAACGGTCCCAAAACAAACGTGTTTACACGCTGGTCAACTTCAAGAGGCGATGGTTTGTGCTGACCAAAACCCACTTGATCTACTACGATGATGAGGACGAGGCGGTAAGTGCTCCAAGCGCCCCATCAGCCCCTAATCGAGGGCGCTCTTTTGTCTCCATGCTTTCAATGCCGGAGGGCCTTTGTTCGAAGGCCCGCAAGCAAGCTGTGACTCATTGGGAAGATGAGCAAAGGAATTTTAGTCTTTGGCCCAGTTCGAAGAACCGAGGCTGGTTAGTCTTGATTCAAACTTGTTTCAACTTGTCTAGAATGTTCGTTAAGTGTTTTACTGTTTGAATGGAACATTCGGAATTAATCGACCACATTTCAATTTACGTACTTTTTGCCCTCAAAACTTGATAAAGTCGGGCAAAAATTTCCAGTAGAACAGGGCTGCAACATCTACCCCCAATCCGTTTATCGTCTGGATTGGGGGCTCGACTTGGCAATGTGGCTGCAAATGGAAAAATGCGTAGCAATCCCTAATCTGGAAAAGGGCCTAGTCATCGACGACTCAATGGAAAAGGACTGCTACACGGTGATTCAAAATAGCCGAAAAAAAAACAGTTATCGCAAAAACGGAGATATGTGCAAAATACTACTTTTCAAATTCGGCAACAATGTATTATTTTAAACTCAATTAAAATATGATTTTTTAAAAGCGGTGGCGTGACGGGACATTTCTGCCCCGTTAAAAATGTGCTCACCTTAAAGAGAATGATATTTTTATTTTTTACAACTTTTTTAGGTTGGCTAAGAGCTTTTTTCTTTGCAATTATTTTAAGCTGCTGCTTCAACACAAAAAGGAAATTTCCTACTTTGATGGGCATCTGGCAATATGCTTTAAAGTATTGTGATTTTGTTGTATGCACTCGTAACTGGCAACAATAATGGCGCCCTTCCTGGAAAAGTCGTGAATATGAATGACTGAAAATAAGTGGAAAACCGGATTTTCGCTAAAAACACCACTAAGAAAAGTTGTTAATGAAAATATCATCTATAAGGTGAGCACTGTTTGAAAGGAGCAGACCGAGGCCTGATTAAAATCCTAATGGAAATGGTGCGTCCAGACCTAACGAGCCGAGCCCGAGCCAAGCCTGAGCCGCGGCAAAATTGTTTTGATGTTTTGTCAAAACGCGGCTAAACAACCGATTTTCTGTTTTTGTAGTGTGCTTAAGCGCTGTACAGTCATTTCAGGGACACCCTGTAGTTAGGCCTGTAAAATGGTTCACTTTGAGTTTAAAGACCGCAATAGATAAATGACCTATTTTGAATCACCCTGTATTATTGGCCGGCAAAACTACGTTGATACGCACCCTTTTTTGATCCGTCTCTTCCCTTTGCGCCCTCGATGGGCTGGATAGGGGCGTCGCGGCGCATGTCTAGGGTGGGACACCACCTTTGCCGTCCAGTCGATTTTTCCTTTCAAAAGGGCCTCCAAATGTCTCCTTGTGCTTGTTGTGGCCATTTTTAGTGGCCCTCAAAGGGTGCGTTTCCTTCGCTGGCTTGTTTAAAAACGAGAGTGCATTTAGCTGTCTGTTTTATTTGCTTTCAGAAACGCAAAGAAAAGGGCCGAGTTGAACTTGAACGCGTGCACACAATCGAAGAAGCCCAATCAGTGTTTTCAAACGAGGAAGTGGGCATTCAGGGGGAGTTTTTTCCCTTCCTAGTGGGCTATCACCAAGAGGAGGACTACACGTTGTTCCTGCTGGGATTGGAGGAACTTGATAGGATTGGCTGGATTTTCTCCATTCGAAAAGGTGAGTGAGCCCCGTTGACGGACTATAGAACGCCACTGATTGGCGGCTTGATGTTGCAGTGTGCGCCTATAACAGAAACGTTCGAAACTACTTTCATCCGGCCCCTTGGAACGGGCGGCGCTGGACCTGCTGCAGAAAGGCCACGAAACTGGTGGACGGCTGCAGAGAGTGCAATAGTTGGACCGACAGCCAAGAGAGCAGCCCTTCCAGGGGTAGCAACAAGGAGAATTACTTCAATACTAGTAAGATATTTTCTCCTCAGTTTCTAATTTCCCCAGAGGCACATTAGACATCAGATAAACGTCATCAAACGTATCTGTTGTCCCAGTCATACATTTGTCTTCTCAATGTGAAGCAAATTGAGCGACCAAAATAGACGTGAATGGCAGGAACGTAAGACAGCCTAACTACGCCACTTTTGCGCCAAATTCATCTAGTTTTCTTAAGCACACACATGCCCTTCTGCTTCGTCTCATTACCCAATTTCCCGTTGTTAAAATAAACATTATTTTACTTATTTCATGCGTAGACAAACTGGGAAAAACGGGCAACTCGGTACAACCAGCAGAACATTGAAGGCTTTCGGTTCGTTCAGTTTCATTGTTGTCTACGCCTCATAAAGGTACTCAGCTGGCAGCGATTTCCGATCGTGCGGGGCCGATAAAGTACCAATGAAGCTTTGCATATTAATGAAACGGCCTTTGTAGATTATCTGGCGAGTGGTGGACGAGGTGAACGAACGCGCAATCGATGCTCTGAACGAGGGTGCTTTGTTATCAGGGTCGTTAGAGTCGCGAATGGAAGTAGAACTTCCACACATATAGTGTTGTTTTTCCGAACTAGTTTTCCAACTCCTATCTTATCAGTGAGAGTTGGTTACACAAAGCGCGTGTTTTCCACTAGGGAGATAAGCCTATTAAAGCGCGATTTCCGCTGCTGGTTTGCTTAGTTGGACTAGTTTGGTGTGTGGATGCGGACAATGCGATGAAGTTCATCTGCCACACGTTGTTTTGGAGATCGCAGCGCATTTCCGGGGCCCCAAAAGTTGAGAACGACGGCTGTAAGTTGCCCTGTTATCTACACTTCTGTCTGCTTCCGCCTCTTCTAACTGGCCACTGTTCAAGCAGCTTCAATTGGATGGCAGTCCATTGTTGTGTGACCGACAATATAATTCGGTGAATTTAACTAATCGGCTATTGTGTTGAATAGTTGGACGTCATTGGCTGTAATCGCCTGATTTTAACATATCGCTTTTTTTAAATGGCTAATCTGATGAATTTAGCGAAAAATCAACCGGATCAGGCTGCCCCCATTGAATGGTTGCTTACAGGGTGTCTTCAAAAATTCTCATCATTCTTTCCCATTTGCGAAACTGCCCGTCTTGACTAGAACTAGCGTTCAGAGCAAAAAATTATCGGAATTTGTTCCTTAAAGGGTTCGAAACATTTTTAATAATCAATATCTATATGTTTATTTTGTACATAATTGTGTTAATTTGCACACCGCTTCCCAGGCAACCACAAATAAGACTATAGAGGTTTAATCGAGGTCGATTTTTGGGGAAATTTTGACAAAATTCTTAACAGGGCACCTAATCTATAGTTTGTCCAAAGTCTTTTGGCAGTGACGTGATTATTTGCGTCGCTATATGTATTGAAATTTACTGATGTCCGAGATTGGAAATATTTTCCTTCATATTCCGTGGTTGCGAGCTTGGGCGTTTTTTCCCGGTGACTTAAAAAGTTCAACGTTCCCGCACTATTTAAAAAATCATAACTCTTCAATTCGGAAAGGTACAAGATTGAAACCTTACGCGTTAATTGACATGGTATTTGGCTGTTAATGTGGAAAATTTCATAAATCATTTTATAAGAATTTACAAACTTGACGCCGCTTAAAAGCGATTTCCATTCAACGTTGCCGCCGTACTATTAAAAAAGTCATAACTCCAAAAGTTGAGAACCTAGAGAACGGAAACTTTGCGTGTTGATTGCGAAAGCATGTCGCTGTTAGTGTAGAAAGTATCATGAAAATCCAAAACTTCTTTAATTTTCTAGAATTTTTCAAAACCTGAAGCTTGAAAGCGATGTCCAATCAACGTTGCCCCGCATTAAAAAAATTAATAACTCTTAAAATCGTGACTACTTGCTAAACGAGCCATTGTCCAGAAATATGTGTGAATTACCGAAGCTAATTTAAGAACGGTTGAGCCTCTTTTCTTTCACTTTTATAGTGACTAATGACACTTTTCCTAACTAACAATAAATCGCCGAAACCATCCTAAATACCTACAAAATCTGCTTCAGATATTTTCTACGTTTAGTTCTGATTTTCAACTAAAAGCAAATGACTTGGCAAATGCGCCAATTTTTTCGGACGATGTGTCATGGATGATACCGGAGTGCCTTATGGATGGGGGGATTTTCAGTGGAAGAAAAGGACAGTTTCTCGAAAAATCTACAGGATGAAAGATGTTTGTAATGTGATTTTCTAAAAAGTTTGCAAATTATTAATCGCGAACGCAAAGGGCCGCAAGCGCCGGACATTATAGACCATTAGAACACTGTTTTATCAATATCTTCTGGTCACATTTTCAACGACCAATCTTCAATCCACTGGCTTCAAACTACGATAGATAGTTTTTCGATTATTTCCGCAGCATTTGTGCCTCTTCCCGTCCAAGGTCTAAATTAGTTGCGTCTTCAAATCGAACCTCTTCAGCACCGCTTCCATTGCTGATTGACCAAGAGAAGAATCAGATGAGATCACCCTGTATACGCAGCCACCTACCTGCCGATCACCTTCCATTGGAACCTGTTGGTAACGGTGAAACAAGTCGGTTCTCCTTGAAGTCTTTTGCGGCCAGTCTTCAGCAGGCCACCGCCATCGTCATGTTTGATGGCGGCCGCTCGTCGACGCGATTCTAGCAGCACCATTGCTGACGTATACGAGCCGAACGAGCAGTTTCAGCTCTTTTCCGTGGCCAGCAAGCTGGGAAAGTCGATGAAAATGCAATTCGAAACGTTAGTGAACGTCTTCAGGAGCGCAACCGGCACTGGTAGGTGAATTTTCCATCCGTGTCTGCTTAAAGTTGTCCTCGATCTGTTCGGCTACGGCTAGTGAAAGTGCTGTGTAGTTGCGATTTCTGAGCGCTGATTAGGCTTAAGGATGCAGCCGCAGTTCCCAGCTAATCGGGTTTTAATGCCCAGCTGTCGAAAGACTGTCTTTCAGCGGCGCCAATTAAACATCGATTAGCCTCTTTTCTTTTGGAGTGATCAAACTGTTTGTTCCAGGCACCCCTTCATCTCCAATCATGCCTGGCGGCGGGACGCCCAGCACCCCCTCAGCGAAGCAGAAGGAGGAGCAAACCACCCCAAGGGCCAAAGTGGTGGTCGCCCTTTACAACTACAAAGCGATCGAAACGGGTGATTTGAGCCTGGAGAAGAACATGGAGTACGAGGTGATTGACGACAGCCAGAAGCACTGGTGGAAAGTGCGGGACTCGAAAGGGTAAGCCAGCAACATGGAAAGTCTTTATGCATGCAATGACCTTTAGCAGATCACTTGGTGAATGTCATGAATAGCAATCAGCTGAATTCTAAAACAGTTAGTTAACATTAGCAATTAATATTGCGCTAACTGTTTCGCATTGCTGAGTAGGGCCTGGCTGGGCGACTGAATCTTGTCCATTCGCACCTCACTTTACTCAAGAGCACATTTGTTCGAACGAACGGAACGAAGAAAAATTTAATAGCGCATAATTTGCACTTTCATTTCAAAACATTTTTATAAGACAGTGAAAGTCCGAATAAACAATTCAGAAGCATCCTAACGTCATAACAAAACGGCAAATATTCAGTTCCGTTCGGCCATGGCGAGCAAATGCGGGCTTAACTTAAGTCGCTAATGCGCGAAGTATCACACATTGCATAAGAGTAACCTTCGCGCCACTAACGGTGCTTCAAACCAGCAACATCTTCAGCCAGTGAATACACGAGGCTGTTTAATAATCATAAAGTCCGGGAGTTTTTCTTGTGTGCAAAACCCTCGTATATGTTGAGTCTTGTTTGTAGCTGTGGGTTACGGCGGCGCGTATATTTGTGACCCTTTCAAGAATTATTGGCGAACGTTGAAAATTTGTTTTTAAAGAAAAGGACTCTCTGGATATTAGAAATAACCTTTTATCGACTGGTCTTTTGCATATCCAAATGCTTTTTGTTTCAGACTTATCGGCTTCATCCCCAGCAACTACGTGAAGGAGAAAGAGCTTTTGGGTCTTCAACAGTACGAGTACGTATCAATATTCCTTTTTATCTTATTCAAACTCATAAATAAATGACAATTCTTCTTATCTTCGACTACTTTTAGTTGGTATGTCAACGACATGTCGAGGCAAAGATCCGAATCTCTTCTGAAGCACGAGGACAAAGAGGGCTGTTTTGTGGTTCGCAACTCTTCCACCAAGGGACTTTACACGCTGTCTCTTTACACCAAAATGTAAGTCGCCCTAATCCCACCGCCGTAAATCCATGAAACGTTAATACGCGCCAATAGATTGATTAGTTTTGGCAATAAACACTTTCATAAACAATTACGCTTAAACCCTGCCAAATCTACCGCACTAATGCGATACTCTTTCAATTAGTTGGCGTTTTCGATTTATTGTTTATTAATCAATTAGAAGCAGGAAGGGAGGCCAGCGACTGCACCTATAAATGTACAGGGTGAGCTAATGTGTGTTGGCTCATATTTATTTCATATAAAGTGAAAGAGGGACGCATGATGACTGGCGGGATACTTTGGGACAAGAGGGAGCTACGTTAGATTGATTTAGTTGCATCGGGAAGCTGCACAAACCCCAGCAGGAAGAATGAGTTGCATAGTTGAATAAAGGCCTCGAAGATTACATGAATAACATGTGACATGATAAGACGATTAAGGAGATAAACTGTGCAACGACATTCTCTTCAAACCCCTATTAGTGAAATGCGCACATACGCACGTAATCTAATGGAACTTTAACGCCATATTAAATAATAGACGATTAATGAACATATTCAATGAAACACATCGTGATGTAGTGAATTCCCATTAGCAATGGAAATTCTGGCAAAACACACTTCTTCAGTCTCTAACTATGTAAAAACTAGCTTGAACTTACCTGTAAAATTTGCGGAATTTTCAAATTTAACTGGTCCTTTGTACTATTCGCAGACCTCACCCCCACGTGAAGCACTACCACATAAAGAAGAACAGTCGCGGGGAGTTTTTCCTATCAGAGAAACACTGCTGTAACTCCATCCCGGATCTGATCAACTACCACAAGCACAACAGTGGCGGACTGGCTTCCCGTTTGAAGACCAGCCCTTGCGATAGGCCCGCGCCCGCTACTGCTGGACTCAGCCATGGTGAGCATCCAGCAGTTTACTCTGTGAAGATTATGTGTGTATTATACATACTTTTCATCGTTAAAGTAAAATATTTCAAGAGTTTCTTCAATCTTTAATGTTATGTCAAATTTATGGTTGTAACGTCGCTTTTGACAGCAGTCGTATCCTAGCAACAGAGCTTGAAGCGCAGTTGCAAAATCCCCTAGTGAAAAAAGAACACTGTTTTTTTTGTGTGATCATCAGAGTTGATGAACTAAGTGTTTCTTGATACACTTTACTTAATTCATGAGCTGGATGGTTGATTTTCAAGAACATCATAGTCAGATTTGGCAAATGGGCAAAATTTTCCGAACTGCGTCATCTTGACAACGGTTTGACAGATCGTTATTTGTTGTTTTATGGAATTGTAGTGAATTTCAATAGGTGGAAAGTGCTCGAAAACCAAATTTTTACAAAAAAAATGCCACTAAGAAAACCTGTTGTTACACAGATTTTCTATCTGGTGATTGAAAATCACAAACGCTAGAGCCTGGTGTTACTGATAATTACCGATAAATCCGTTAATTTCGCGGCTTGTTGCAGATAAATGGGAAATCGATCACAACGAGCTGATGCTACTGGACGAATTGGGTTCGGGCCAGTTTGGGGTGGTTCGCAGAGGAAAGTGGCGAGGGTCGACGGACGTGGCCGTGAAAATGATGAAAGAAGGCACCATGTCTGAGGACGACTTTATCGAAGAGGCCAAAGTGATGACGTGAGTGTTAGGAATGGGGTGTTGATTCCGGTCTGTCAGTTGTTTGTGTGTGGTTTTCAGGAAGCTGCAACATGCGAATTTGGTGCAACTGTATGGGGTGTGCAGCAAAAACCGACCGATTTTCATCGTCACCGAATACATGCGGCATGGCTCGCTTTTGAACTACTTGCGGCGACATGAGCAGTCATTGGCGACCAATCAGGGGCTGTTGTTGGACATGTGTATTCAGGTCTGTTCAGACTTTCTCGGCTCTGTGGGTTCTAATTATTTTTTGGTGCAGGTGTGTAAAGGCATGTCGTACTTGGAGCGGCACAACTACATCCATCGCGACCTAGCCGCTAGAAATTGCCTCGTAGGCACCGAGAACATTGTGAAAGTGGCCGACTTCGGCCTGGCAAGGTACCATATACAATTGTAGAAGATCTGCAAGCTCAAACTGTTCTGGTTTCCTTTCCAGATACGTTTTGGACGACCAGTACACGTCTTCAGGCGGCTCCAAGTTCCCCATCAAATGGGCCCCGCCCGAGGTACTGAACTACACCAGATTCTCCTCCAAGTCTGACGTGTGGGCGTACGGTAAGTTTTCGCCCCGTTTCAAAGCATTCACTGCTTAATCGCCCTAATTCGAAACAGGGGTGCTGATGTGGGAGGTTTTCACCTGCGGAAAGATGCCCTACGGCCGAATGAAGAACTCGGAAGTGGTCGAGCGCGTCCAAAAGGGCATTATTCTAGATAAACCCAAAGCTTGTTTTAAGGAAGTGTATGATGTGAGTATTTCGATGACTACATTAGTTTTCAATGGCCAAAAACTTCATTCAGAATCTGCGGGAAATAGTTGAAAGCGTTTATAAACGTCTACGAGCATCAATTAAAATTGCATAAGATTATCGCAAGATACGAAAACGTTCTCATTAAGAAAAGCTGTTTGGCTTTTGGTATTGAATTTTCATGTTTGTTTTGCAATTAATTGGTTTTTCCCGCTGAAGATTAAGATCTGCTGGTTATAAACCAACCAACTCACCCAGTATATCTCGAAGTTTTTCGTGTTCTTGTTTCAGGTGATGAAGAAATGTTGGGCCCCGCTACCAGAAAGCCGGCCCTCCTTCAGAATCCTCAAAGACACCCTACTGAACGTATCGCAGGGTATTTTGGTCGATTGACTGGCGCGTCTCGTGTGTGACACGGTGGTTAGAGGGGTGTCGCCCAGTTCGGCCGGCGGGGCTTCGTGCAGTTCGCACCATGATGGTTACGAAGAGGCCTGGCTGGGCGTCTGTCGAACACTTTGTAGAGAAGTGCGTCGCGCGAAAAAGACCACTAGAAACTACGAGGTGCCCTAAAGCCGCCCCAACGAACTTGTTTCAAAGTCGCGTATCTAATATTTAGATTGGTGATGAATCGGTGGCCAAATGTAATAGAAATAGTCTGCTGGGTGCTCTCAAGTTATCGACGTGCAGTAGACGAAATTTAGACTGACTGAGGCTTTGGAGGACTCCCGAACCACTGGCGAAACTAAATTGGAAACTTCTTCGGCAGACAGCTGACAATAATGCAATTTTCTCTCTATTGAGTCAGTGGGGCCAAAAGACAAAACATTCTCACGCAAAGAACTGCCTCTTAACATAACGTATAGCTATTTTTCCATAATAAGGGTTTAAACAACACTAATTACGCAGAGCGTTGTATCAAATGATGGCCGCAACTTTTATATAAAAAGTGTATATCCTACGGAATTTTTTCAGTCTCCAACCCGACCAAGGGAATTGTGTCCGATTTCTGTTTGTCACATCACTAGCCCGACCCTGACAAAGTTTGTGATATGTATTTTTAATTTCCCTAGGTATAGTGCATGTTTGTGACATTTAGTTCCGTTTAATTTAGCACTAGACCGCCCCTCATTAGCTAATTAATACTTAACCGAGTACAACACTCAACCAGCTAAAAGCTGCATACTAATTGGACTTGACCTAGTTTAGTTCTAGATTAATTTTGATGTGTGATACAAAACTGTATAAGTACTACATAGTTTCGAACGTTAGAACCATCCTCAATTATCTACACCATGTATTTCCAATCGAAATGTGTTACCATATCATGTTTGCATGAAATTTCCTCATTCTATACTAAGATACTGTGTACTGGAAAACATTCAGTCCCTTTTTTATTTTCATATATAAGATTTTTTATATGTATTAATATCTGAGTTTTTATAGATTCTACGTATATTATAAAACCTTACTGTAATTGATGGCAGTTTTATTTTTTCCTGGCGACATCTTTTTTTCTCGAAAAAAATGCTCTCATGAACCATCAGATCATAAGAGACGACCTATAAATTGTACAGGGTGAATTTGAACAACTAACTGAATTATATTCACTTTTATTTCGTTTTCTTTCCATTCAAATAACTGGGTTTAGACTAAGTTTCTGGAAAATTACTGAATGTTTTTCTCTCTTTCCTTGTGGCTCAATGCAGCATTAAGGTACGTATATCATTACGCTGCCTTTGGCGGATAGCGCCTTAAGAGGCTGCGTGTGATCCTGGCCAAACCATTTAGGTTTAACCGTTGCTTGAAAGAGTATATTATACTCTTTCAATCAACTTTTTAACGCTGTTTTTACACATTTGAAAATGTAGGCAAATAATTTTTCCAATCGGGACTAGAATTCGTCCGAATAATTGAAATTTCTATAGTTTTATGAGAGGATAGAAATATAAGGATAGCCCGTCTCGCGAGCTGTCTTCTACTACTAGGGTTTATTAAGGAATTCCCAATCCCTGAAGAAATAGAAGCGAAAATATGCAAAAGGCCGGGTAGGACTGAATGTATGCTTAGCAGTGATTTGCAGGAGCGTCTGAGTGGAATAAACCCTAAACAAAAATTGTGCTATTCAGCACCTGCTTTATTTGTACAAATCTAGCTAAAACTAAGGCTTTGAACTTAGAAAATCACATTATTCAAGCCCTGAACTTCGGGTGGATTATTTACATCGGGGCTCACTTTAATGCTGTTGATTCTTAAGAACGTTTGGGGTATTTTGAAGACTGTAACCAAAATCTACATTCATTTCCGTTGTAAATTGAAAAATCAACCGTTACTCACATTTGGTTCGCATGTACTGCTTCCTCCTCTTCTTTCTGAAGTGAGTTTTCGTGTGGGAGAGTGTCTTCTCAATCACGGTGGCCTCAACGTTTACTAAACCCTGTTGGACTAGCGGTCTGCCGATTAGGGAAAATTCAGCGGCGCCCAGCACCAGCACCTGCAACCACCCCAATCAGCTCAATCTATTGATTTAATGGTCAAGAACACCAACTAAGCACCTTGTTGAGTAGGATTTTCTCCCCGCATTCGGGCGGCCAGTACCCTTCCACAATTAACACATCCCCTTGGGTTATTTTGTGCTGTTTGCCGCACACTTGCACCACTGCAAACAGCCTGCCCTGTTGCTTTTCAGCTATTTGGTGGTTGACTTTCTCGATGGTATCTGCAGATAACCAATTCAAGTTTAGAGACTACATGAATGTTTCACGTTCTAATGGGACCTACCGTTGGCTAAACCATAGTCCTGGTCATCATTGACTATCTCGTAAGGCGTATGTTGGGTGGAGAATTTTTTCGCCCTGCTCAGGATACTGTTGGCACACGCTGTTAATTTGGGTGCATTTTGCAGACTATTCAGAGATAGTTTGCTGAAATTCGATAGCAAAAGTCCGGGCAACAATTTTGCCATTTTGAAAATGAGGTTAAGCCATAGATAAAGACAAGTATAGATAGCCCACTCTCTCGCACTTTGTTGGACCCGCGCTAACCTGCTGTCATCTATTAACGCAAATGCACAGCTGCGTTTTAAATCTGCTTGGGAGTAGAGTTGTTTTGAAGGTTTGTGTCCTTACTATTATTGGTGACCGATTACTTTAATTGAGATTAAGAGATGTTGTATTCGTGGAGTCCAAGTCATTATTTTGCTTATATAAATACAACTGGCTAATTTGGCTCCATTAAATCCGTTTTGCACACATTTTCAAGCATTGAAACAGTGAGTACTTCATTATATTACATTATTTGAAATTGGCGGGCATTTGCTGGAACCGCGGGTGGCTCTGCGGAGCCAAGATCTTGCCTGCAAGACAAGGAGACAATTAATTAAACCAAAATTCTAAAGCCCAGTGGTGTTCCTGTGGACATTCTGGCCAGCATTTCAAATTTAAATTTCAACTCATTTAGCAATTTAAAGTCATTTACCTATTAATTTCCAACAGACTGAAATTGTTTCTGATCAAACAAAATACATATAGAATATCTTAGTTCAAACTATAGTATTTAAAATGAAGACCATGTAAATTGAAAAGGAATTATTTATTTATTTCATAGAAACAGTATTTATTCCTATTCTAAAAAGACTATCGACCACATTGGCCTTTCTGCCATTCTAGTTACTCATAAAAACTTTAATTAGAAAACTCATAAAAACAGA